CACTTTCCAGCTCTGAAGTAGTTTATGAGTACACTCAGTCGTGCTCCCAAGTCCAGTTGAGCACCTTCTTTGATAGCCTGACTCAAAGCATTCATATACTTCCTTTTGTAAAATTCTCTATACTCACATGACCCATGCATATACTTAATAAATTCTTCTTCTGTAGACGAGCTCATTTTTTGAAAAATTTTTAAAATGATTAATGAAAATGGGCGGAAATCAAAAATTCAACTTTTTGAACAAAATTGACCTAAATATCAAAATGTAAACTTTCAAAATATCTAAAATTGGTAGTATATAAGGAGAGAAATTTTTGGAAAAAAATCATTCTTACAAAAAAATGAATTCTCATTCTTCTTACAATAAAGTCATTGACGAATGCACGCGAATTTTGGGGTGCTCTGCAAAATCCTTAAGAGATCACCTCAACCATCCTGATAACCGCGTGCTAATCTTTAAGGAAATCCTAGGTCGAAAAGTCCAAACGACCTATGAAGACCAGAATGGCTTCAAGAAAACTTTCCGCATAGATGGCCTTACTCAACATGGAGGAAATTCTCTCGTTGCTTATGGGAGATTACCTTTTCCTTACAACGTGAGCGTTGCTGCTCACTATTATGCTCGACACAGGATTCGTTTACGCTATCCCTACTTACAATGTGTCGTTGAGCGCTTTCCATTTGGAGGAGAGGACCGATATTACCCAATGGAGTTGCTCGAGTTTGTTCCTGAACAAGAGGATCGACTTGCTAGCAAATGGGTGAATAAACTTTCCAATGATCTAACAAACAAGCTAACAATTTCGGAAGAGCCAAAGAGTCCAGTAATTATTTTGAAAAAAGATCAAGACTTAGAAATACCTAATTTTGAACTTTGGTAATTACTTGTATCAATTTATTTTTGGATAAAAATTTTTTAAAAAATTTTGTATCAAAAACACATAGGGCTTAAAAATACACGCGCATGCCAAAAACATGCACGCATACTTAAAATTCATAAATTTCAATAAAATTAAAAATTGCATTTTATTTTTACAAAATATGCACTTTTTCCCCTAAAATCAGCTATTTAAAATTGCAAACTTTGCTTTTTTGCAACTTTTTTATCTTAAATTATGCACTTTTCCCCCTAAAATCATCTATTTCAAACTCTAAACTTTGCTCACTAGTTTTTTAATTGTGCACTTTTACCCCTAAAATCACCTACTTTTAAACAAAAAATTTGCACAAGTTTTTTTTCATAAAAAATTTATTTCAAAGTGAAAATTAAAACAATAAAAATTGCAATTTAAAAGTTGAGAAAAAGAAAATTGGAGGGAGGGGTAGGAGACCGGCTTCGCCATTCGAGTCCTTTATCCAACTCAACCAGGGATGTAATAATTTACTCAGTCCGCTACCACTGTATCTCAATGAGAGGTATGCCTCACAACATGTGAATGGCACATGTTGATAATCATCGTAAACAATGAGAGGACGACCTCACAATATGTGAATGGCACATTTGATATTCATCGAACAATGGTTGGTATAGAGAAGATAAGGAGTACCCCTGACTACTTTCCGGCTCCAAGAATTATTGGGACAATGTGACAAAAAAATTTTTAAGTGAACAAAAAATTATGGAGGTGAAATACGAGGGTGACGATTATTTACAAAACCAAAATTAAGTATTGAAAAGTCAGAAGGGCGAATAATTCCCTTACTGACCACAGGTTTATACAATTTATGTTGTGGTTGGGAAGTGACACGACCATCTTTAATCGATGGTCGCAAAAAATTGGGATAAATAATATCAATTGGATCATTTTCCCCAGTTTTCGCATAAGAAAGTACCTGTTCTTTGAATGTGTTGTACTGCAGGCCCTGGTTGTTGAGCACATCCCAGTTCAACGTCATTCCTCGTACTTTGAGAACATATTCTTTGCCATCACCTTGTCGATTCTTCCTTTGTAGTTGTAGACCATATTGCTTAGCTCCCCCACAGCAGTATTCCAAAATGTCATGGGCAGGGTATTCATCAGTCCCAAAGGTAGAGGGCAGTTGTTGATTGGATGAGCAAAAATCAAGGAGTCGGTGTCGGTGTAGAGAAGTTTACAGCCAGACGATCGCACAACTTTCTGCATGGCACGAAGCAAGTGAAGTCGTGCTGCCGACGTTGTCCATAAAGAGATGACAACATTGGAGCAGTTGTGCTCCTCAATCCAATCCTTCTTCTTGATGTAAGTGATGAGCAGTATTTCGTCTGTGAGTTCATCCAGACCAGTAATTTCAATAGATTTGTCGTTGTAATATTTATGAAGTTCTGCAGGATTGTCGGTGATTGCACACTGAGACAGCCCAAAATTCCTTAAAGAAAATCTTCCCCACAAATTGTTTAACATTAATTTGGCCTGGGTACGCTTCCCCTTATTAGGTCCCATTTTACTTCTCTCTATATTAATTCCAAACTTTTCCTTGCACTCATTGATGAACTTTTCCTCCTTTTCAAAATCACCCTTCATACAACTATCGAACCCTGAAGAATGTATTTTTTGCGCCATAAATTCACTGATGTATGGTGCAAACAATTGATCATCTGAACTGTCGTATTCCAATACCCTGAATACTTTTGTCACAATATATCCTTTCTCCAGTGCTGCATTCAGTTCAAGTGAAGTGCAGGTGCTAACCCATCCACGTTGTTGATCAGAGTGTGGACAGGAGTAGTTCTCATTCACTCCTCCTTCAGGATTCTCCCTAGCACATTGTGAACAAAGTGGAAAGAGAAGCCTTTCATCATCTTCTCCAACTTTCATTGGGAGTACAGGGACATCAACACTCCTTGGTGGGATGACAAAAACTTTTAAAATTGCCAATTCAAAGTTATTGTCTTCAGGCCTACTCCAATGAACATCTTGATTGAGGATGTGGACCTTTGGGTGTCCCACTGGATATTTGGTAGAAACATTTATGAACGGATAGAGGGAGGTCACGTCATAGTATGAAATTTTCTCTCCCTCAGCTGGCTTGTAGAAAAGGGAAAGAGGACCAGTCCGTCCACCAAAAAAGCACGCACGCAGATCAATAGGTCCATCGTACAAATATTTTTTAAAGCTGCTCCTCATTTCTCTATCATTATCCAGCATACCCCTAATCTCACACTCCCAAAAGACTTGCACATTTATTCCCTGACTTTTGATGAACTCCAACCTCTTCAAATCCTTCTCCCGCTGCTTTCCTGCTGTAAGACCATTTGGGAGAACTGCGTTGTCTTCTGGATAACAACGCTCACAGCCATGCCATACACATCCATTTACCTCAATCCCTAAGTTCTCCTTTTCTATCCAACCATCCAGTTTGTAGTTGCCTACTTTTTTCTCCCCTCCATCTGAATGTGCTGTCTGAATTTTTACCCCATGCTCTTCCTCATACCACTTCATAAACTTCAAGGCGAGACGACTCTGATTATCGACGTTGTCGTACCCTTTCTCTGGAACCAGGGCCAAGTGGTTTTCCTTCAGATGGTTTGTCCTAAAGTGGTTCATACACGCAGACGCAATTGTCATTGACTCCCTCAGAACATCAATACCATTGTGAGCCTTATTTGATGCGGCTCTCTGACATGGGCCCCTCTTTGTTACGTCTAGGAATTCGCGCCGAAATGCTATAAGTGCAGCCAGAAGAATTTCCACGTCGTTTGTACAATAAGAAGCCAGCTCCTCGTCCAAGAAGAATGGTTGTTCCTTGTGTTGATCATACCATTGGTCGAATTCTTTTCTCTTCTCTGGCATCATCCCATCTGCAAAGTAGTCAGATGGCTGGGGAAACACGGCTTTTCCATAATTTTTAGGCTGGTTGGCGAGGTGGGGGAAAAAGGGTTTATCCTCGACCTCAAGCGCAAAAGCGGGGACAAGAGATGCCAAAGACATTGGCATCAGGTTGAAACTGTCCCTGAAGATCAACATACTCTTCTTTCCAACTTTGACCTTCATCTCGTACATTTTGTTCCCCCTCTTCAACATCTCAGGAGTAAAACCAAGAAGAAACAGCTCTCTAAAAACAATTACCATATCAAATCTCCCTCCAAAATGTGAGAAGGCGATGGTGTCGTACTCTGATGTGATTTCAATTATCCATTTGACAAAAGAGATTATAGGATCCTTGGTAACTTTCTGGAGATCCACACGCGTTTTTGAAAAAGGACGTTCAGAAAAAGTTACCAATCTGTTGATTCCACAAACTTTACACTGCTCCTCCTCTTCTTCAATACATTTGGGGCAAGTGACTCTCGCTGCGATGAAGTTTGCTTGGTGATTCCTTTTGTTGTCAGAAGAAACATGTTGCATGGTCTCGAGGTCAAAAGCTACAAATCGGTAGGGCTTTTGAGCTTTTGACTCCAAAGGCTTAATAAAACAGCCTCGCTTCGGATCGTGATACCCATTACATATTGAACAATAACGTTCATTACAAACATGGCCATTTCTTCCTCCTCTGCTGTTGTCTATTTTATTCCAAATCACTCCGCACTTTTCACACTTCTTGGAACGCTTGCAAACGCCTGAATTGATGTGTTCGATGAAGCAATCCTCATTGTTAAAGGTTTTGGAGCAATCGGTGCATTTTTTCAAAAAGTTATCTCTAGGAGGGCAAGGGTAAAGTGGGCCTACACGGGAACAATTGAGACAGTGAGCACGACACGACGCAGAATGACGTTGGGGGCGTTCATAAACTGTCTCACACTCCAAGCAATATGGCTGCCCAAAAAGACCTCCCGTACTCGTGACTCCATTAAAATGGGACCCGTCAAAGTAGAGGAGTAAAGGGGAATTATAATTTTCGGGCCCATATTTAAAACAAGGCTTATAATGCCCCAGGCAATCGAAAATAAATACTTTAAAGCAAAACCGGCCTGCATACATCTCATTCCAGTAGTCGACTACGGGAGGTACCCACTCTTCAGCATTGTACTCCTCTCGACCAAGAGGAGCGCCAATTTGTTCCATCAGCCCCAAGGTCTGCTGCTCAAATTGTCCATTTGATCCATACCTCCCGTGGACATAGTTGTAGAATTGAGAGCGCGACAAGTTTCCAATGAGTCGCACTCGTGCTGCTAATAAAGCATAAAATAAACAATATCCATTGTTGTTGTTAATTTTGATCAAGTTCTGCTGCTTGATCTGGTGATGGACAGGAGCAATTCTACGTGGAGCTCCGCCAGTAATGTTGTTTTCAGTGGACAAGTTTTTCTTGTCAACGACCATAATATTAACTGAAAAAGGTTTTCCCCAAAGGGTTACTCCCGCCTGCTTTTTACTCTGGGAGACCTTATTAAATTGGTTGAGCAGGGTATTGAAGGTGTTTTGGGAGGTGGGCCTGAGGGGGATCCAAATATCTGAATCTAATAACTCACTTGATACTGTGCAACCCAGCTCCTCTGGTTCAAGTCCATTATTTTTGGCGTTGTTCACTGCTTCATTAAAGCAGTGTTGGAATATTCCTGATAATAAGGCCTCAGGGTCGGCCGGAATATTCTGAATTAAGAATTTGGTGTAATTTTTGGTGATTTTAAATTTGTTGATGAATTTTGTTGTATTCTCAAGCTGCTCAATATATTGTTGGGGAGCAGCTTCTCCTCCTGATTGATCAAGAGAGAGGAGGTTGTCGATGAAGAACGCTCTTGCGCGTTTTGTTGGTGGACAATAATCCATACTAAATACAGCAAAAATTGAAAAAAAAAATTTAAAATAAAATTCGAAAAAAGGCCTACAATAGAGGAAAGAATCAATAGATAAATATTGATTCAAAAAGGAAACTTAGGAAATTGGCTAACGAAGTAAAAGATAAGACTTAATTAAAAGTTTTAAAAATTTTAAAGGAAATTTAAAAGTTTGAATGAAAAAATGTAAGAATCAATAAATAAATATTGATTCAAAAAGAATAAAGTGAAAATAAAGTGAAATTAAAATTAATAAAATTAAATTTAAAAAATTAAAACTTAAATTTTAAAACCTAATTAAAATTTAAAAAATTAAAGTAAAAAGCCTAAAAAACTTTTAAAGTAAAAAATTAAATTTAAAAAATTAATTAAAATTTTAAGGAAAAAGTTTTCACTGATGTGAAAAATTTAAGGGAGTTTTTTAAATTAAAAATATAAATTAAATAATTTATTAAAAATTATTTAATATTAAATTAAATATTAAAAATAAAATTGTTTTTAATTTTTTAAAAATTTAGTAGAATGATGCAAAAATGGATTTTTTCCTCGTTTTTATACTCGCTCTTTCGCTTCGATAAAAATCGATTAGTTGGCGTTTTTATTCTATTCAAATTATGTGTTTGCTTTTTTATTCAAATATTGACATTCAAAGGATTGGCAAAGAGCCAAAAGAAGAGAGATGAAGAAAAAAATAGATAGCAGCTGTCGGAAAAGTATCGACTGCTTAAAAGAAAGGAAAAAAGATAAAGAGGGAAGAAAAGTGCGGCGGCAGTCAGAAAAAAAGAAAAGGACTGACCGGCTGTAAAATAAAGAAAAGGGAATAAAAGGAGAATTTAGGAAAGAATTTAAATTTTCTTTTGTCGGAAAATCCAAATAAAATTATCGGCTGCTGAGAAAGAGAAGAAGAAAAGAGAGAAAATAAGCGGCGGCTGTCGGGAAAAAGAGAAAGCTGACCGGTTGTAAATAAAAAAAAAGGAGTTAAAAGAGCGGCGCAAGTCAAAGATGCAGTGGCCTTTGTGGAAGCAAAGTGTAAAATTAAATCAATTAGAAATATAAATATTATGTACATACAAATTGCCACAAAAACTGAAAAACATAGTTGAAACAGATTTACAAACTGAATATTTACATTAACAAACACTATTTGATTGATTAACTCACATGTACAGTCCGGGTAATCACCTGCAGTAGTAGCCTCGATAAACACTTACATAATTAGTGATTAATAAGTACATGATTACATGACTAGTACAAATTACTCTTCATCGTACACCCATTCCAAAAAAATTACAATATGATTGACACAAAACATGACAAGATACACACAAAACATGACAAGATTACACATGTAATTACTAGTTGTTGACTTACAAATTACTACACATGTTTTTTCACTAATTACATACTTCCTTGTATGTAATACCACTCTTGCACCCACAACAGTGCCGATATGCTCATTCCCTTTTGATTTTCCCACTATACTCTCTTTCTTTTGTCTGACCCCGCGACAGTGGCGACTGTCCACCCTTTTGGTTTTTACCAGTCTTTTTTTTTGTCTGACCCGCGACAGTGCCGATATGCCCACTACCTTTTGATTTTTTGCCGCGCATTCCCGACCTGCCCTCTTCCTTTTGGTTTTGTCGGACCCCTCCACCCCCACGACACTGATGTAAAGGTACATGTTTACAAGGGATTACAAGCCGCGACGGTGACCGGTGGTTAACTACTAGTGGGTCTCACTATAATATACACCCAATACTTAGGAAGCCTCCCACACTCTGGTTCTGTAGAATAAATTCGTTGTAAAAGTTATTTAACCCCTACCTGAGGCTCCAATAACACTGGATTAGCAGCATAAATTCCTACTCTGAGTCCAAAAACTCTGAGTAACTCGGAACTCAAGGGTTATTTAACCTGGTTATTCGAGGACTAACCGATTATTTACCCCCGAATTTATTTACTGGCCCTGTAGAAGACCATGTTTTGCCTTTTAAATAGAGGTGCATCTAGTATTGAGGTATAAGTATTTTTGTCTTTAATAAACTTAAAAACTACCTCGATTTTCTGTGAAAAATACTTTTTCAAATTTTGCCAATTATTTTTCTTATAATTTTCAACTGGATTTTCACCTAATCTATTTTTAAGATTACTTGTAAAATCCTTAATGTATCTAATTATTTTATGACTCGATTTTTTTAGCTCATCCCTTATTGTTTTATTTGAATTGACTATTTCTCCGTCAGTCTCGCCTTTTGCCTTTTCGACAATTTTTTCAATTGTTAAAGCTTTGCTGAAAACTAATAAATTGGGAAATAATTCTGAAAATTCTTCTCTTAATTTGTTCTTATCGTTCAAATTGTTGAGAAAATTGTTGAGGAAAGCGACTAATTTCTCCGACAACTTATCTCCATTCTTCTTGATTTTGCTTAGTTTAAAATAGAGCTTTTCTATGGATGTTTTCTTCATTATAAAATTTTCAATAACAACCACAAACGAATTTATTTGATTGAACTCATTTAGGAACACAATGTTTTTGCTGTTTGAAGCTTTATTTCTTATCCAATCAATTGGTCTCTTCAAATATTTTCTCAATTAAACGATCCACAAAACTTTTGTTCTCCCCTTTATCAGAAAGCTGTATTGCTCGAAAATCAAAATAATCAGGCGAGTAATTGTTACCGGAGTCTCCACTTACTGAAAAAATAATAATCCTTATTTAGTCAATGTTCTATGATCAAGTACTCGTATACACCACTGAAGAAAGTTATATCACTTACCAAGATTTAAAAGGCGATTGCATGCGTATTTAAAAACATTGTCATTCCATCCTTTAAGATTAAAATAAGCATTGTTTATTTTATCTTCAAGCTCTTTCTTTTCATTTACTTTTATTAGATGAGTAATGCTTTCTCCGTCAATACTACTATATGAAAGCATAAGTGCTTTGATTAAAATATCCATATGTAACGATGTTTTACTTTTATGTCGGTTTTCATATGGTTTCAAGGAACAATTCAAACGAAAAAGTAAAAAATTAGTCAGTTCATTTTTATTTTCCAACATTTTCATGTATTGGCCAATAGTAGGATTCTCTAGGCACTCTTGTTCAGTAATTTTCTTATAAACTTGAAGCTTCTTTGTTGGATTATTTAACCATCCAGCCTAAATTTTGTGAAAATATTTAATGATCATGCCAATGAAAAGTTCAAATTAAACTTATGAGAATTTTCTTACCTTATTTTCTGTTGGCTTTTCATTACAGTTTGGATCAAAACGCCAATTTAAAAATTGTTCAAGTGTTTCAGCATCGAACACTCCTTGAACTTTTGAAAACTCTCTAAAATCAACTTTATCATTATCCAATTTAACCATTTTTAAATTTGGATGAAGAGCTATCATTATCTTCATTGCCACATTTAAATCCTCTAATTTTTGAGTGGAAACAATTTCTAATAAAGCATTCGTGTCTTTATTTTGAATTGATTCGTACATTATAGTTGCAATATACAACGGTTTGGTAAGCAGAAATGATCGGAGAAGTTTTTTGTTAATCACCGATAATTCGAGAGGTTTTGAATTTTTCATTTGAAAAAGTCCTTTTTCATTAGTGAAAAAATTATCAACACATTTGGTATAAAGGTTCAAACTAATTTTTGCGTCATTGTTTTTAATTTTACCATTGAGGAGTTCCTAAAAATTATTTGAATTAATATATTCAATTGTTCAATGAATCGCCAAAATTATATAAATTAAAAGCTCACCCTGATTGGATTCCCAATTTTGCCTTCCTCACTCTTCATGTTGTCGCAAAATGCAGCAATTCCTACAAATCGGACTTGATCATTAAACATCGCCATATCATTCAAAAACATATTTACACATTTCTCTTGTTCATCACATTTACTAGCATTTTCTAAAATCCAAGCAATTTGATTCTTTACATGTTGATCAACTTCATCTATTTCGGAAGAAATGTCGAATTCTTCCTTTGCATCGAAAAACACTTCATTTTCTTCGTTAGACCCTTCTCCACTCCCATTAACAAGATTGAAACAATAAATTAACAAAATGCAGTTAAAAACAAATAGTTTTAACATTTTTAATCTTAATTAAAATTGTCACCGTCTAAACCTTTCTGTTAGAATTAGGAAAAATAGAAAATATTTCATGCGAATATATGGGAGGGGTGGGCAAAACCGAAAAGAACCAAAAGCTGTGAAGTACTAATGTATCTGTTTAACTGTTGGTTAAAACATTATACGAAACTTTATAAATTTTGAAATTAGAAAAATTAAAAAAATTTAAATAAATTTATTTTATTTAAATAAAAACATTTAAAGAATTTATTCTAAAATTTTATTTTTATACATAAATGAAAGTCTACATCCAATTTTCCGATATTTAAAGGCAGTTAATCGCTCGCTCCATCCCCTACCTCGCTACTCACACATAGATGGACAGAGAATTCAAATTAAAGAGAGAGTATTTATTATTAAAAAATAAAATAGTCGCAAGTGAGCCTCTTACTGTACAACAAAGGTAGAGAAAAAAAATTTTCTTGAGTAAATTTTTATTTATTACCAGACATATGTATGTTCTCTTGTTATGGGGAAAACAAGCAAGTAAAACATACTAAAATTTTAATAAAATTTCGGCTATAGTTTGTTTACCGAAGTTTTAGTTCCGATACAAGACCCATACCATTCATTCGTCTCGACGAGCTGAGTCGAATGGTACCACTCTTCTTTTTCCGGAGATGCCTGTGGATCGAGATATAGGTCCTCGAAAATCGAAAAACCATAGGGGGGAGTAAGCACAACATGTCTCTATTTGAACCTCATATACCTATAATAGACCCAAACATTTGGAGAGGCTAAAAACAAGACCGCAGTGCTTGTTTTAAGTTTTGCGAATATATGGGTATATTTATAATTTTTTTTTAAATTTCTTAATATTTTAATTGATTTTTCTTTCCCCCTTACTTTACTCATGTGAAAATCTATCGATAATTTAAAAAGGCGAAAAAATTTTTTTAAGTAAATAAAAGACAATAAATCAATATAAAAAATTTTTTTAAAGGGAAGGAATTTTTAAAGGATTTTTTAAAGATAATAGAATGGATAGTAAAAGTTTTAGTTGATATAAAAAGTATTTTTCTTTACCGTGAAATACAAAAAAACTAACAAAACCTAAAAAAAGACTTTCCTATCCAAAATTTTCCGCAAATTAATAAATATTTGATGGGATTCGGATTATTTCCACAAAATCCTGCAAAATCAAGATTATTATAAATAGCAGATGCCGGTTTTTGTCTAAATTGTTTTTGGAAGCATTTTTTTGGGTAAATTAGTTTTATGAGCAAATCAAACACTTCTGAATCCTTTTGTTCTCTATGTTAACTACTTTAAAACTCATTTTCGCTCTTTTTCCCATTACAATGCAAGATAAAAAATCTGGTCGTGCGATTTAGTTTTATAGCTCTGTTCTCTTAGATGTTCGAAGAGCTTCTGTTTTTATTAATCATCTTGAATTTTGCAAGATTTTGTAGTAAAACACGCAAAATTTTTATAAAATTTCCTTCAGCTAAACAAAAAAATCCTTAAAAAATTCCTTCCCTCTAAAAAAATTCTTTGCCTTTTAAGCTTTTGATAGATTTTCACATGATTTTTTCATAATGTAAATACAGACAGAGTAAAGTAAGAGCAGAAAGAAAGAAAAATCAAGGGCTGCGCTTGGATTCGTCCCCCTTGGATTCGTCCCCCTGAACAAAAACTTTGGATTCGTCCCACTAAGTTAATAGTCAATCTTTTGCGTGTCTGGTGATTTCGGCAGAAGTGACGTAGCAGTGGTTAAATGGGCAGTGAGTGATTTAGGCAGTGAGGTGAATTAGGCAGTGAGTGATTTGGGCAGTAAACGTTTTTAAAAAATATTTTCCACATAAAAACAATTTGAGTATCAACGAGAAAATAATTATGCGTGATTTGGGCAGCAAAATTTATTCTAACAAGAAAAAATTTACATAATCAAAATGGAGACAATAAAATTAAATGAAAAGAGATGGTCAGGAAGCAAACGATAGGAGGCAAAACATGAATATCCAACATGTTTT